ACCGATTTTGATATATGCTGTGGTCTATACGTGTTAGCATAGTGGTGAACAAAAACATAAAAATGTAATATTTCAAAAAATACTTAAAACCGTTAACATATTTGTAGTTAATGAAAAGTAACTATAATAGTATAATGAGATCCAATCAAATATTTTTTAGTCAGTTTTAACTATAAAAATTATTTTTTCCTTTCTCTTGTATCATTTCATTTGTATTGTTAATAATTTAATTTAATTTAGTAGCCAATCAAAGGTAAGAAGAAGACTAGGTCAAAATAAAAAGCAAATTTTGTTTTGTTTATGTGGTTGTCGTCTCTCTACTTTCTTTCTCTTTGACCACCAAAACTACTGTCTTCCTCCGTTCACTCTCTCGGTCTCTCCTAATCACACACACACACACACACGCTCGCATACGTAACGAAGCCATTTCGTTTCCACACAATTGGGAGACTGCGCTTAACAATGGAGCCGAAAGAGAATGGGAATCAACTGGGTCGGGTCATCGACGGACCCACTAACCCGATGGTCACACCTCTGCTCAACGATCTCTACCAATTCACCATGGCTTACGCTTATTGGAAAGCCGGCAAACAAAACGAACGCTCCGTGTAAATACTTCTCATTTCATTATCATCTCTTCCACAATTCCGATTCCGTATTTGAAAATTCTGATTGTTTTTCGTTTTTCTGTTGCCGCCACCAGCTTCGATCTGTATTTCCGTAAGAATCCGTTTGGTGGTGAATACACTGTGTTCGCTGGGTTAGAAGAGTGTGTTAAGTTCCTGGCGAATTTCAAATTGAGTGATGAAGAAATCGATTTCGTTCGTGATGCGTTACCTGGATCTGAGGTATCATCATCAAAAACGACGATTTGTTTCTCTGGTTTTTATTGAGTTCGTTTTGTTGAATGTTTTCGATTTCAAATTAGGAAGCTTTCTGCGAGTATCTGAGAGGGCTAGATTGTTCTGACGTTGAAGTGTATGCAATTCCCGAAGGATCAGTTGTTTTTCCTAAAGTACCTATCGTGAGAGTCGAAGGACCTGTTGGTGTGAGTCTCTTTGTCTCTCTTTAACTCTCTCTTTTGAAGATTAAACAATGATTTGGATTGTTGTAAATGCATAGGTTGTTCAATTGTTGGAAACTCCATTCCTCAATCTTGTCAATTTTGCATCTTTGGTAGCTACAAACGCAGCTAGACACCGGTTTGTCGCCGGAAAATCTAAGAGTCTACTCGAGTTTGGTGCTCGAAGAGCTCAGGTTTCTATACATATAAACCCTTTTGTGCTGAAATTTTGAATCTTTTCTAAGTTTCGTCTCATGTTCTTTAGTTTTGGTATCTTAGGGACCAGATGGTGCGATAAGCGCATCCAAGTATTGTTATCTTGGAGGTTTTGATGCAACAAGGCAAGTTCTTGGTTACAGTTCCAAGTTTTTTATTTGTTCTAGAAACAGAATTTATAGAAATTGTATGTTTTCCAATTGCAGCAACGTAGCAGCCGGAAAACTGTTTGGGATTCCTCTACGTGGAACACACTCTCATGCTTTTGTTAGCTCATACATGGTCAGTGGAACACACTCTCATGCTTTAGCTTAAGCACTGATTCCAAACTTTATATATCTGTAACTTTTGGCTTGCAGAGCACTGATGAGATTGTGGACAAGGTGCTAATCAGTGCTGATGGGACAACCACGTGCGAGGATTTTGTCAGTCTGGTTCAGTCATGGTTAAAAAAGATTAAGGTTTGCTGGATTTTGCTCTTTCTCTGCCTCTGATTCGTTGACGTCGCAGTTTTTGCTTATGATTTGTTTTTCCTTTTGGATGAATGACAGTATTCTCCGGCTCTACGTGGCATTTTCTCTGAGACAAATCAAAGCGAGCTAGTAGCTTTCACCTCATATGCACTGGCTTTCCCTAAAGCCTTTCTTGCCCTTGTTGATACATACGATGTGAGCATCAGTGACCACAATAGATAGCTCAATTGAGCCTTAAGATTTCGAAGAAACTGTTGTAATAGTATTTTGCTTACTGTTTCTTACAGGTGATGAAGAGTGGAATCCCTAATTTCTGTGCAGTTGCTTTAGCACTCAATGACTTTGGGTATGTAAGAATCTCTTATCAGTACTCTTATCTTTCGACATCAGTGACGTTGTACTTCTTTGGTCTCATATGGAATATCTGAGACGCTTGGTGTTGTTGTTTGTTTTGCTGTGCAGATATAAAGCGTTAGGTATTAGGCTGGATTCAGGTGACTTAGCATATCTATCTACAGAGGTCAGGAACTTCTTCTGTATAGTAGAAAGAGAACTAAAAGTGCCTGGTTTTGGGAAGATGGTCGTCACAGCTAGTAATGATCTAAACGAAGAGACGATCGACGCTTTGAATAAACAGGTGATTTCCTTAACCTCTCACTCTCAAGTGCTCCTTAAGATTTGATTTTCTTACTAAGCATATGTGTTTTCTTTCACTTCCGTAGGGACATGAGGTGGATGCGTTTGGTATCGGGACTTACTTAGTCACTTGCTACGCGCAAGCTGCCTTAGGTTGCGTTTTCAAACTTGTGGAGATTAACAATCAGCCTCGGATCAAACTTTCTGAAGATGTTACAAAGGTTAAAAACACTCTCCTTCTCTGGGTTTATGATTCATTTAAACATCACATTGTACTTAATTCTTGATATGTTCAGGTATCGATACCGTGTAAAAAGAGAAGTTACAGATTGTACGGAAAAGAAAATTATCCTCTGGTTGATATAATGACTGGAGAGAACGAACCACCTCCAAAGGTATTGAAAAGTTTAGATCTCTTTAATCACATCACCTTATTGCACACTTCATATTTTGATTATTGTTTCTGGATTTTGAAGGTTGGTGAGCGTTTACTATGTCGTCATCCTTTTAATGAATCCAAGAGAGCATATGTAGTGCCACAACGTGTTGAAGAGCTCCTCAAATGTTATTGGCGTGGATCTGCAGGTAAAGATTTTTCATTTCTGTAAAAGCTATAGTGACATTGATTGTTTTTAAAACTGATTATTGCTTCTCTCTTTGAAATGAAGATGAAGCAAGAGAAGAATTACCACCATTGAAAGAGATAAGAGACCGTTGCATCAAACAGCTCGAGAACATGCGACCTGATCATATGAGGAGATTAAACCCAACTCCTTACAAGGTTTGATATTTTTGCTCCTACAAACTTGTTTAAAAAACCATGTTTATAACTTTTTCTGAGAAAGTTTCCATGGTTTTGCAGGTTAGTGTCAGTGCGAAGCTGTATGATTTCATCCACTTCCTATGGCTCAACGAAGCACCTGTTGGTGAATTGCAGTAACAACCAAAAAGAAGAAGAAAATCTTGTTCTTGTTGGAGTTAGTGTATATATTTTATACCACAGCATCATTACTTGCAATATGAGTTTTTACGCTTAGTTTGTTTTCACACAACATTTGATTGATGATCTCATATTTTTTTGGTTGTAGCAAGATTCATTTCTTATAGAGGAAAGACTGAAACGATTTGTTGCATTGAAACCTGTTTTCAACTGATTCAATAAACATTTTGACAGTTGAAATGAAGTAAAAACATGGTTGAATTGATGAAATAAAATGAAATGGAATGATAAAATGTTGACTTCGGATGGTCCGCAAATAGCCATGGCTTGGAGGGCAGGGCATTGAACATTTTGTATGATATATATTTTCCTTTTAAATATGATTCGTTGTGCGGTTTTGAAACGGTGTAGCTCCTTCCATGAGTAGATATGGGGTGTGGCTTCATCCTGAAAAGGGTATGCAAAAGGTTAGGGTTTATAAGTTGATTATTAGACGATTTGCCCAAATGGTCCATGAGCAGAGTTTTGTTTTCAAGTTTGCGGACATTTGGTCTGACAATATGGTCCAAGGTGATTGGTTGCATCTTTAAGAAGAAAAATCTGTTTTTATGAAATTATCTCAAGTTTGTTTTAAACACTGGCCACTACATTCTAAATTCTTTTATGGAATTATCTCAAGTTTGTTTTTACCATTGGCAATACATCGTAATTTCCTAGCTACATATGTTCATTGTTGTCATTACTCCTTCACGAATCTAAAGATTTTTCTTATATAATTTTTGAAGTTTCAACCATAGTGTCTTGTGATGGAATATTAATTGTTTGTTATTCATCACTGCATCTCTTTCATTGTAAAATATTTTTAACACATTGAAAATATATCTAAAGTTCTACATAATTTACACTTATAAGCTTTTTTTTCTTAGGAAATATATCGAAATTTGATTAGTCAAACCTAATTATATTCCGTGCTGAATTTAAAAAACAAAAACAAAAAGCAGTTGGTATGGTTGATATGGTTGGTACGGTTTGGTGCTTAAAAAGAGTAGTTAAAATGTCGATTAGTACATAACATTAACTACCTTCACTAAAAATCAAGCAGAATGATCCAAACAATCAATTATCTTTTCCCAAATGAGTTAAATGAATTTATTTTGAGAAAAATTATTTACTGGTTCACTAATCCAAAAGAGAAATTACAAAGTCTCGTTTGGGGCGTTCGAAAACGCACCGAACGATATTTAAAACGCATTGAGAGCTGTTGGATGAATATTGAAGAAATGAGAGGACAAAGATGAGTGTGGGGATACATCAAGATTTTTTTGTCCACAAAAACAAAACCTGTACTGTAGAAAAACAAAAACTATCAGAGAGAGAAGAAGAAGAGGAAGTGTTTGAGCAAAAAGACACGACTTTTCTGGGCTATCTTTTTCACTTTTGCAGAGAACAAAATCTGTTAAGAAACCCAAAAAGCTTCCTTTTTTTCTGTGCATTTCGTACTTTTAAAACATTCTGCTTACAAATCTTTCCACAAAGCTTTCTACTTTCGAAATTAAAAAAAAAAAATGGACTTATTCTCTGACAATTAAAATTATAAAAAGAAAAAAAACTAAAAGTTAAAATTAAACGTACGCTTCTTCTTCTTCCTCCTCATCATCATCATTCATCATCTTCACTCTGATACTTTAAGCCACTCGTAACGTCCTTCTAATGGCTTCTCCTTCTCGAAATCAAAGTTATACCTAATGGGAGAGAAAAAAAATTCAAAGTTAAAATCTTTTTAATTGTTGTAAATTTTAAAGTTTGATAATTTAAACTTACTTCTTCTTGAATTTATTCTCGAGCTGTTTCTCTGCTACCGCGAAAAAATCTTCAATTTCCGCTTCCGTCGGTTGCTCCATCGTCGACTCCGGCTTCTCCTCCGCCGTCGACAAAGATCTCCTCCCGCTGCAACAACAATCCGATGACTCTTTAATCACCGAATCAAACTCAACCGCAATTTCCGGTGACTTCTCCATTGAAAAGCTCGATTCTTTCTCTCTGCTAAGATTCTCAAATAGCTTCCTCTTCGTACTCCTGCAAAACCAAATAATTTATTCTGAAAATCTGAGGGGGAGAGTCGATTAAATAAAAAATACGAACCGCGAAATTAATAAAACCTTCAAATTTCAAATGATTTTAAACATTTACTCACCGTCGATACGTCGACGTTTCAGTGTCACCGTCTCTTTCCTCCTGCAACAACAATGAAAAAGAAATTCAAATTTTCAAAAACAAAAATAAAAACAGAAGATCTATAGCAATAAATTTTATTTTTTAAAAACGCATTAAATTATATTCTGTGTAAGATATTTAATGATTGACATCTACAGTTACAAGAATCTAGAATCAACAATTAATGAGAGTGATCGATCAATCTCTTCACCTCCAGATCTATAAATCCACCATCGTCGACGACGACGTTGTTGTTGTTGTTTCTATAATCGTTGCTCGCGCAACAAGACGACAAATTCGACGAAGTAACTCCATTGTTATGATCAACGACGTCGGCGACGGAGCTAGAGTTTTCCGATCTGCGATCGACGGTGACGTATACGACTCTCCGGTTACGAAGCTGCATATACGTAGACCTTACACATCCAGCTTCGACCATCCCTTTTGATTTTCTGCATTTTCTCACCATCTTCGGTTTCTAATCTTCAGCTTGCGTGTTGGTGACGTAAAGTCTCTGGAAGAGAGAGAGAGATGATTAAAGTTGAGAGGACGAGGAAGACGAAAGAGAGAAGAAGAGAAGAAGATGGAAGATGATGGATTTTTGGTTTTAACGGTCAGGATTGAGTTTTGAGACGCTTTTGGTTTTTGTTTGATAGAGAAATGGCGTGTTTTAGTGGTCCCCTTACAGTGACGGGGAATCTTCGACGGGAAACTGAAGGCGCCGTTATTTGGATCGAGTAGTGTTTGAGTAGACTGAGTGACACGTGTCGGTTTTCGACGGTGATTTAACGGAACGGGAAGAGGGTAGGGGCGTAATAATTGTGGGGTAACTACTTTCAGAAAACCCCGCTCATATATCGCTAAATCACAAATTTGCCATTACGTTATTGATCGAAGAGAGAATTGTTGTTATTAGTAATTGATAATAATGTTTAAGGTGATATTTGTGATTTAGTGATAAATGAGAGGAGTTTTCTGAAATTTGCCATTACGAGCTCTGTTTTCCTATTGTTTATGACATATCCTCGCAATTGAAATTTGAATCAACCAACGATGAATGGTTGAAAGATGTGAATAATAATAGATAGATACTCATGGAGCTTTTCAAAATATACAATTGAAACCAATTAACCGATGATGAAACACTGAAAGTTTTTGGACAAAGATTCAAATATTTTCAGAAAGTGGGATTTGGATGTTGTAATGCATCAAAGATGCTGAAAGCGCCAACAACGGTAATGAATCATCCCTTGGATTTAGAAGTTGCCTTGGATGATCTTGAGCAACATAAGCTGAATGAGTGTAGGAGTTCCACTTGACATGATAAAGAATGAAGCATCAAAGAAGAATGTCCTATGTTTCAGGTTGATGAAACTGTGATTGGCTGCCAAAATCTTGTTCATCTCTAGCAATCCTTCTTCTAAATCAGTGATGAGTCATTCAACAACCATTGTTCTTGTTGCTTGGCCAATGCAACGAAGAAGATCACCTGTGTTTGAAAATCAAAAGGGTACCGGAAATGATAATTTGGTTTGTAATTTCTATATTGATACTAGCAAATTTTCATGGTCGCATTGACTTACCTCGAAGGATTCCAATGGGATTTTAATTTGTTGGTACAGTCTTGGTACAATTGTAATTACATGAAGCCTGAGTTGTAAAACGGTTGTTAGTTTTTACATTAATATTCTCTTCTTTTGTTTTGTTTTTTTTTTGTTTTGTTTTTAAGATGAGGAAATGGTGTTGTAGACTTGTAGTGACCACTGAAGTTGCATAACCGAAGTTGGAGTAATCAAGTTAAACAATTGCTTGGTGCCTTAAAGTCTCTAATTAAGTTAAGAAACACAAGCTTTTGATCCGATTCACATTCTACTATAAACGCAACTTTACCTTGATGTGGGAGTTGAAAAATAAACAAAGAAGTGGCTAATTAACCAAACATAAAGAAGAAACAAATAATTGGTTAAACATAAAAAGAAACCCCTCCATAATGCTATTTCTATGACACAAGTTTTCATGAGCGCTTGACACTCAGAAGTTAAAAATTGTCGCTTGTCTTTGTAGTAACCAATTTTCAAAGGAGCTTAATGTTTGTTATTCTTTCGTATAATTAAGTGGAAAAAAATAGTTGAATATCTTGCATCATATATCATTAAGTGCTGCACAAGGTTTGCCATGAGCATTAAATATTTAAATCGTTTCTTGAACACCCGAAACATACAATTAGTGACATAGGAAAGAAACACCTGGTCAGTTTGGGAACCTGCGCATATGCATTTCCAAGACCAATGATATCACAAATTCGATCTGACAGATGAATTCTCGTTGTCTATATGGTTTCCAAGTGCCAATGCCTGAGAAATAAAGCTGGGTAAGATTGAAGAAGTTCAACTGCTTGTAAGCCATAGAAATAAAGCTGAGCAAGATAAGATGAGTCAATAAAAAAGACATACCGATCTCCATGTTCTTGAAGAGCATGTTGGAGAAGCGTGAGATTACCCTTTCGTAAAGCTTGTACAATCTTTATGTAGTGGAACATATAGAGAGTTGGATTTTATAATTTCGCCCGCAGATGCAAAATAAGTTTGTCGTCCAATTTTAAATGATTTGGTGCTACATAATAAATGATTTTAAATTATTATGAAATTAAAAATAACATAAAATTAGTTTAGTGCCACAACAATAAATGATTTGAACGAGAAAAGGAAAAAAGGAAAAAAAGACAAAGGGCTCGATAGAGCTCATAAGACAAAGCCTCTAAGATCTTCTACTCAAGAAGGTTGGTAATAGTTCAGATTGTTTTGGCATCGATCAGTCCTCCAGTTGACCCAATAAAAATTCGTGGCAATTCAAACATGGCCGCAACTCCGCCGTCTTTTCCAGTCTCCGGCACAAGAAGAAGAGTGATCCAACCTCAACTCACAGAGATCGTCTCAAAAAAGAGAATGCATTGTAGGTGATGAGAACTGATAGAATAAGAACTACAGTAGAAAATTTCTCTTTAACCTCTTCACAACTGGGAAACGAGTGATTTGACTATAAGCCTGATTCCAATGAAAGCAAGGGCTGAGATCAAGGTGATGAACATAATGTCGATCGAAAAGGAAAAAGTTTCTAAGGACTTGCATCCATGTGCATATAGATACTTTGACGCTCCATGGAAGATCTGTCAGTGATTTCAGTTTCTCGCAATAATTGAGGCAGAGGGTTACCAACGAGCCCATGATGCTTGTAGGCACTGTTTCAAAACCATGTCTGCTGATATCCAAATATGTCAACTTAGTGAAATGACTAAGCTCATCTGATAAGGACTCCACACTATTGCATTTGTCAAGCCGAAGCTCAAGCAAACTGTAGCTCCCAATCTTCGGAGGTTGGCACAGTCAAAAAGTGCGAGTGTCTCCAGTTGATATAGTTCTGGCTAGGCTTCGAGCCTGCGGCAGTTACAAAGCGTCACGTGTTTCAACTTGGAAAGAAGCTTCATCGATGAAGTAAACATGGTATACAAAAACTAAGCTTCCTTCCTCTCTAGTTAGAATACAACCAAATCGTTTTCACATTACAAACCTATGACACATCGTTATGTTCAGGGCAGTTGATAGATTGCTGAAAGTGATAAAAACTAGAGCTGCAATGATACTAGAGAATATTCCAGGAAACCTACAATGATACTAGGGAATCTTGTCTCTAAGCCGCAATATAGAGGATTGCTACTGCGTATGAGAATGCTTTCGTTGAGCCTGCTTCTTCAAGATGGCAAGTATTCGGATTCGTTCGCTAGGATTTTGTATGAACTAACTGCTAGATCAAACAGCAGAGTAGCTTCGGCTAGAGGAATCCGGGGAATGTAATGGGTTGGTTTGGTCAGTCAAAAGCCTTTCTCTATAGATTAGTGGGTTTCATTAACCATGCTGTAATGTATTGTTAGTAGTAAACTTTTATCATTTTGGTATCTTTATATTATTAATTGAGAAGTACATTCTAATGTTTGGATACAAGAATTAGAGAAACATCTATTTGGATAGAAGAATAAATGGAAACAAAAGTTGTTTGGATATAAGAATAAGAGAAAAATCTATTTGGATAGAAGAATAAATGGAAAAAATTGTTTGGATACAAGAATAATAACTTAAAATAAACCGATGGTTTAGAAAACTTCCGTTTTCCATCTCTTAAAAATCTGCAAAAAAAAAACTTAACATAATCTAACGATAATTCCAAATCAATAGAATATGCTTTTTGGATTTTCGGGTTTTTATAGACAAGTTCGGGTTTGGGTGAAAATCTGAGACATAATTTTATAGAGATATATATAGAGATATAGAAATTGTTCGGGTTTCTTTGAAAATTTCTGTTCGGGTTAGGTTCAATTTTTTTTTTCAGTTTAGGGTTTTCCGGATTTTTTAGATTTCTGGTTTTCGGGTTTAGATATATTAAAAAAATTGAGTATTTTAAAATTTTGATTAGGTATTGGGGTCGGGTTCCGGGTGAAAAAGTTTCCAGATTTTTTTTGTTCAGTCAGGGTTTTCGGGATTTTTTTGATTTCGGATTTTCATGTTTAGACCTATTAAAAAAGTTTGGGTTTTTAAATTTTTTGATTAGGGTTTTTTGTCGGGTTCGGATTTAGGGTTTAAATTTTCTACACAAAACAACAACGTCACACCGCACAAACGTGCGGGTACTCTACTAGTATGTATTAAAAGCACAGTAATGTTGAACAAAGTCTTCTCATTATTGCTCTCGCATGTATGATTGTAGGTGATCATGACATTTTAACACTCATATTGGTAATATAGCAACTCTTGGTTGGTAAGATTTTGACATTATTTGATCAAAAAACAAACCAGTCAAACTGCAAAACCAAATCGAAGACCAATCTCATGCTATTACTCTTAATCCTCAAGGAGATTTTCTTGTGATCCAAGCAAAATAAGAGATAGCCTAAACGATCCAAAAATGTTTGAAAAGTAGAAAAACAGAACATCCAAAAAATCCAAAGAGAACAATACAAAAATCAAAGAGACTACAATACTTGAAAAGTTTTTACACAAAGACTCAAAAGAGTTCTTGGATTTTCATCCCTTGGACTTGGATTTAGAAGTTGCCTTGGATGATCCAGAGCAACCAAATTAAAGCTGAATGTGTGTGTAGGAGTTCCAATGGACAGCATCATGCAAGAAGCATCAAAGAAGAAGGACCTATGTTTCAGGTTGATGAGACTGTGATTGGCTGCCAAAATTTCCTTCATCTCTTGCAATCATTCTTGTAGATCAATGATGAGTCCTTCAGCCAATATTGTGCTTGTTGCTTGGAGAATGCAAGGAAGAAGAGGACCTGAGTTTGACAATCAAAAGGGTATTTGAAAAGGGAAGAAGGTCTAATAGGAAATGATGCAGCAAGTGAGGAGGAACCTTACCTGCCATGTCAATAAGGACTGAGTCATGTTTCAGCTGAAGACATATCATCATTTGAGCATTGAAGGCAGCTGCAACCTTATGACTGGAGTGGCTCTTTGGATCTGAGAGACATGTTCTTGCTTCATCCAGAAGCTCCCTGAAGAAGAGGAAGCGGAAGCTCCGCCGAGGAAGGTCAACGAAGACATATAATCCAAGGAGGGCTTCACTGTTCGCCAAGTCCCTCAGGCAAAGACCAAGCTCTGTCCACATTGGATCTCTCGAAAAATCAATCAAGATTGCCAGTGTTGTGGGGTAGCTAGACTAGTGTTTTCAGTTGTCAAAACCACAAATGCATCCATTCTCAGACCTAGTATAAAAGACACAAACGACAATCTTAACATAACAGTTATGATTATGTTCAAGATCAAGTGATTTGCAACAGAGAGAGAGAGTCGAATGGTTGCATTAGCATACCTGGAAGGATTCCAATGGAATTTGAAGGTGGTGGTGCAGTCTTTGTACATGAAAGCTTTCAAGATCTTCTCCTATTTATATACTTATCAGCAGAGATTCAAAGAAAACATTCACGAGGTTTTGTGTCTTTTTCTTTCGACTAATTACATCAAATTAACACAAACAACAGTTTCTAATCTAAATCATAGCCCTAATTACACAAGTCATTCTCGTATGAGTGATATTATTGTGGCAGGTCTTGCGAACATTAATATTAAGTTATTAACCATAATTTTTATAAACCATAAAGTAATAAAAAATTATAGTAATACATAAAGGTAGAACAAAGAGTGTGCATCTCAAGCAACTACAAACTTTTTCTAGCAAAACCACTACTCCTTTTCTGTTTTCACATGTTTTTGTCTCTTCCATTGCTAAAACAATATTTCACTGACTTTGGATTATATTCTTACGTATAGTTTCATTTCAGTTTTCACATAATAAGTGCCAATTACTTTTCGGCTTTAATAGCTCAACCAGTAAAATAGCTGGCCATTTTTCAAGAGAAGAATCTCCAAAATCACGAATTCAAGCACAATTGTAACTCGGAAGAAACCAATCTAACTTACGTAAGGTCATCTGGAATTTCTTGGAGAAAAAAAAACAATTACTTGAGGTCAAGCGCCTTATCCATTAGGCCATGGGTGCTTTTTGTATGTCTCTATCTAAACATAACTCCAGGATTATACTTTATAGAATTAGTAGTAGTTTGTAAACTTTGTATTAGTGCATGTTATTGACAACAAAGAATTCAACTTTAAAAAAAAAAAAACAAATTACTTTAAACACTAAATCATTTATGGTGAAGAAGATAGTTTGTACATTTTCAATACGTATCTGTAGGCATCAAATACTCTGCTTAAAAAAAAAAGCTTTGCTTAAACCCCACGTCTAGATTCAAATCGAATAACTAAGAACAATATGTCATTCAAATAAAAATCATACACTAGAACATTATTTATAATGAATAAGACATTAATAAGTTATAGTACGAGAATAAAATATTTAAAGTAGTATAAATTAAATTTAATATATATATATATATATATATATGTCCTAGATTACAAGTTTAAAATCATGGGGTCTTGCATGCTCCAAGAACAGTAAAGGTACGGTCGTTTTCCATCAATAACTTAGTAACATCAGAATCAATTGCCTAAGTCCACTTTGTCTTTAAATAGCCACAGTTTCAACCTCAAAACTCTAATCATTATTAAACCTTTCATAATACCTACATCATGTATATATATATTACTACTCACGTTCAAAGACTTTGAATCTTAAGTAAGCAAAAATATTATTTGTTTATTTTGGATATGGCAAAGACCCTTCTTGTAATTTACCTTTTCCTTTGTATTCTCCTTTTCTGCGAACTCATCGACGAGGCGCATGGTAGTCGTTTGAGGTGTCATCATCCACCAGATTATTCATGCAAGAAACGTTCTAGCCATCATCATCATCATCATCATCATCATCATCAGCATCATCATCATTATCATCGTCATCACAAGGACACTCCGAATGAATCAGAGGATCTTCATCGAAGCATCAAGACGAGGAGAAGCGAGGAGCCTTACGGAGTTGATGCTTTCCGGCCTACTTCGCCAGGTCACAGCCCCGGCGTTGGGCATTAGATCAAATTAAAATTGGGACGTTTGAATTAATTTGTCTTGATTTCTCGTTATCCATCTTGTGTTGATCTTTGTCATTTTGTAAATAGTAGATTGTGGTTTAGTCTCTTTTGTTGGCTGTCATTTTTAAAATCTTTAAATATATTCTCTGAGTTATCTTGCGGCTCAAAATTTTATAAAATGTTATTTCATATACAGATTTACAAATAAAAAAGTTTTTTTTTTTTTTTTTTTTTTGATAGACCCTATCGGCTTCTGGTTAACCCCGGTAGGAACGCACCAAGGTGCTACAAAGTGGACTCATCATAAGAACTACCATACCGTCTATTCCGAGTTTGGAATGCCTTCCAACTAATGTCAGGGGGTAATCAGGCCGCCTGCATTTCTAATTACCAGATAAACCAATTGGGCCTAGGCCCAACTGACAGACTTCCCACACAATAAATTTTTTTTTTTTTTTTTCTATATACCCTTTCTTGAGCTTATGCATACAGATATTTATGAGAATAAATTAATGGTTCGAAATATTTAAAAAAAAAAAAGGATTCTTAGCTACATTAAGTTTAAATCTACTTGATATTCTTTCGCGGATTTCGACATTTTCTTGTACCTGATACAAACTAGACATTTTCAACCGCAATATATTTACATACACAATTGTATGATTGTAAGATTGTGTGATTAAAAAAAAAACATGCGAGTGTTTGAAAATGGAAGTGAAGTCGGAGATGATTTCTCAACGTACAAAATTGACAGAAAACTCAAAGCGGCTATTTTTTTTTTTTTTTCTAACGTGTACGATTAGTGTTAGAGTTAGGCACTTAAATTAGGTTGGTTAACTTAGAAAGTAAATTTCATTTAGTCAACTGTGTTAAAATGAGTTAACCACATATTATTTATTTGATCGTTTATTCATTATCTATACGAAAATATCTTCCATGCATGCATCATTCCCTCGGATTAGGATGAAGGGTTGATGATTAGGTATATTTCAATTTTCATTTAGTAAGGTATATGGAAGAAAGAATGAAAAATCAACATCCATAAAAAGAAAAAAGCTTAAAAGATCTTAATTAACACAACTCAAAGTGATTGATTGTGTGCAAATATTATCCTTGATAGGACCCACAAAAGGAAGGGCGTGTATCAAAAGTATATAAATATCTAAATGAAGTTTAGAAAAAAAGACATCTAATTTTTCTTAAAGTTTCCGAGAAAATTGTAGAAAGAAAAAACAAAAAAACAAGGAGAATCGTAGAAGTGCACAGGTTAGGTTGGCACCGTTCAGGACCGGTCCAAGTGAAGTGCATTGTATCTAAACCTCAATGCTTTTGCAAACATTAAAAACAAGTTTTGATTAATGATTTAACAACGAATCACAATGTTTAGAAATATGTATTGTAAACGTCGTGACAAAAATATCTTTGATATTTGTTAGCCAGTGACGTGAGGTTCGTATCATAGAAAAAGGTTAGATTGTACATAGAGATAGAATAGTTGGCTTAGATTATTATTGATTTAGTTGGCTTAATTTAAGATGTATGTCGTTTAATATTTCTATATTTTTATTTCAACATATAAAGTTATTGTATATTTTGGGGCTACGTGCTGATCAATTATTAGTGTTTTGTAGAAAGATGACGATAACTGTCAGCAGAAAATGTTACCTCAGCGGAATGATAGTGGGATTTAGACTTTTTGGTGCCGTGATGACTGAGGAACGATGCCAACATATATTTTCGAGAAATCGTACCTAATATTTCAAATCTGGTATCTATCTACTTCCATATACGATATATCATCAAATGATACAAAAATGCAATCATTGCCAATTTCTCAGTTTTGGTTTTCACTTTTCAGGTTAATCAGTAAATTAAAAGTTCGTATATGTTTTACTTTCTAATGGAAATTCTAAGAGTCAAGATTCAAATAGTTAGTCTTGATGACTAATCAAAAAGAAATATAAAATATCTATCTAACTTGTATATAGCTTTGAACTGAACACAAAATATCTAACTTGCTACGTAAGAAAACGGGTATACATTAGGTAGATTTAATTTAGTCCAATTCATTAAATTCATATCGATCCAAAAGCTATAAGTACTAGAAACTAAATAGTAATTAAATTCCAATTTTCTATTCTCAGACGTAGATGGAACTCATGAACATCCAAAACAAATATTTAATAGGTTGAACCAAAAGCATAGTAAAAGTTAAGTAGTAAGAAAACGGACCACTCTCTCGTAGTATATATGTCTCATTTGAACAGAAGTTCACATGAATTTGAACGCCTTACCACACTCTTCAATTCCTTGATCAGCTCACCTCTATCTCCAGATCTTGTATTGTTTATGGAGAAAGTTGCTTTCTTCAAACGGTAAGCGTTCGCTAGAATGTAATTAGCCACTTCCTTCTCCTCTTTTACTAGGAATTTGTTGTAGCCACTCCACATGAATGTCTCCAGATGAAACAACAAACATGTAGTAAAATTATAATCCGGTTGATTCAGTGTCCTATTCTTTCGCCAAACCCTTTCCTTATTAGACTAATGAGATGGAAACACAACGTATGTTATTATTTATTATTAATTAGACCATTAAATAAACTCAAACAGAGCCAGAAAACATTAATTTGCTGAGAGATGAAACACATGCTTACATTGATGAGCTTGAGGACTTGCAATTTAGGAGAAGTAGCGAGCATGGAAGTAAGTAGATTCCACCATGCTTCTTGACTTGTATATATCTCCAAACATACTAGTTGGTCGAAGATGATACCGGTAGAAAACGTAATCTATTAACGCATGAGGGCAATATTAGTTCATGAACAATGTAAACAACAAGCAATTCGATTAATTTCAAGAAAACCTGAAAATCTATACCTTATAATGTAATATCTTCAAGGAAAGGCGTTTGACTGAAGTTAGAGACCTCAGAAACTTCTCATCCATTACCTTAGAGACGTGACTGATTTTTGCCTCCACCAGTGTCGTCACATTCTCAAACGCACGTCCAAACCAACAACGACAACTCCCTACAATCTTCAAGTATCTCAAAGAAGGAGCATTTAACACATAGCCACAATTATGTAAACCATGACGGCCACAATAAATCGACAGTCTCTGTACGGATGCCATCGGAATAGTGCGAGTCTTCATTAGGGAGGCACCATGTAGATGCATGGACAAATTTTCAAGATTAGGGCAACCAGACAAAAAGGTATTAATCAATGTCCATGTATGGCTCTTCCCTGGGTAAAGATGCAGAGTTTTAAGGGACTTCAGAAAACCTTGAGAAGGATCACGTAGATAAATAAAGCCCTTGAGTGTCAAGGTCTCTAGTATTCCACAGTTACACATGCTGCTGGGAAGTATTAAAGCAGACTCTCTCTTAGATTCAATATCGAGTACCAACTTACGCACATGTTGTGCGCGTGCGATTCCAATACACACTCCAATATCCATAGCATCACAAGTGTCTACATTAAAACTGAGATGAAAACTCTCTAGAAACGGAGCTTTATGAGAAAGCAAAGAGTTGCAAACATTATCTGAGAATGTCCCGACTTCACCTTTGTGATCGCAAGAATCAAACTTGAGTTGAGGCATCATCTTCCAAAGAAACTGCCATTGTTTAGACAAAACACTTGTGGCTACGGCAGATTTTGTAGGAAGTTGAGACAGTATCTGCAGAATCAAAACGTCCGGCAACTTACTGATCCTATCTTCGTTCATATTGCCACCGTCTCTCCTTTGCTGACAAAAGCCAAAAAACCGAACAACAAAAGGTTAGTTTGGTTTTAAAGTTCTGGAGCTAAGAGTTGCGAGACCATAAAACCTAAGAGAAACATACCTAGGTCAAAAATTGAACTGAAAAGTTATGTGTTGCTGTTAAAACGCTTTTTCTACTTCCAAACGAAAACGGCGGAGGTTAGGGTTTCGTTTCGAAGGATGATACTGCGGCAGAGGGGGTCTTTTTTTTAAATATATTTTCTTCTTTCAAGTAATGATAAATGACTATTGACGCATTATAAAGCAACATTATTTACTTATTTAAATGATATACTCTAGGGAAATTACAACACATTTTTCCCTTTTTTGGTGCTCTATAGGGATTTTTTAGTGAAAAATATATACATCCATTAATATCTACCATGAAATATCTTTGACAAAACCGAAAACAGTTAATGATCAACAGATAAAAAATTAAATATGTCAATTTTTATTTCTCTTTTAACACCGGCTTTCATTGAACTTCTCCAGAATGTTCTTTCATGTACAAATCGAAAGAGCTATGTTTGTTAAGGAGCAGAAAAGGGAGGAGACAAGAAGAAACTGTGAATGAAAATAAGAAAAATGTATTACAATGCCAAAACTCAAAAAAGCTTTGATACCCTCAAACCCTAACTTCCTCCGCAGCTTCTTAATTAGAAGCTTCTGCTAAAGATTATATCGCCTTAAAAATTAAATAGGTAAAAGCACGATTTATTTTTCTTTTTCATTTTCCATTCTCAAACGTACGTAGATATGGATCTTAACATCCAAAACAGAGATAAATAAAGGTTGAACTAAAAGCATATAGTAAGAGTTAGCTGTGAAAAAAAAAAAACTCTCCTAATATAAAAGTTTCATTCGAAAAGAATCTGGCATGAATTTGAAGCCCTCACCACACTCTCCAGCTCAAGCCTATCTTCAGAACTCATGCGTATTGAGGAGAAACTTGCTCTCTCCAAAAGGTTTGTGTTCATTAGAATGTATTTCGCAACTTCTTTCTCCTCCTCTACTAGACCTTCGTCGGAGCCTGTCCACATGAACGTCTCGAGATGAAACAGCAAACATTCAGGAACATTCTTTGGCTGCTTCCATTTCCTATTAGCCTTTAAACCTTGTCTCCAACCATCTCGTTTCTGAGTCTAATCATGAGAGGAAAACACAATTATATATTACCTTATTACTAGATCATCAAAACCTGGAAAATTTACAAAGAGATGAAACATTGCTTACATTAATGAGCTTGAGGACTTGCAATATAGGAGAACTATCGAGCATGAAAGTTAACAGATCCCACCATGCGTTCGTAGTTGTATATATCTCCAAATACACCAATTGGTTGAAGATGCTACCAGTAGGAAACTTAAACTAGTGCATGAGGCAGTATAATTAGTAATTAGTACAAAAACAATGTGATAATCATTAATAACTTGGGTTGCATGAAATCTACCTCCTTCAAGGGTAATAGTTCCAAGGAAAGACGTCTAACAGAAGTTAAAGATCTCAGAAGATTCTCATTAATTGTATGAGAGGCGTCAACGATATCTGCCTCCTCTAGCTTCGTCACATTCTTAGTCAGACGAAACTTGAGACAATGTTCCCCTTCAATCTTCAAGTATTTCAAAGAAGGAGCATCGATCACATAGCCACAACCCATTGTTCTACCATAGATACTATAAACATAAATAGATAGTCTTTGTAACGATGGCACCGAAATAGTACTCTGAGTCACCTCCACTCCGGAGAAGTATCCACGAAGACCCAACAACAAGTTTTCAAGATTAGGGCAACCAGATAAAAAGTGAACCAACGATGCTTTGTCTCCGAAGTACACAGAGTGAAGATGAAGAGTTTTAAGGGACTTCAGACAAACTTTAGAAGGGACATTTACGTAAACCAGAAGCTTGAGTATCAAGGTCTTCAGTGATTCACAGTGATACAAGCTTTTAGGAAAGCTGTAATAAAATGACTTGCACTCAACATCGAGTACCAAGTTTCTGATATGTCTTGCGTTTGCAATTTCAATCCACGTTTCAATATCCATATCTTCACAGTTGTATGGACTAAAACTGAGATTTAAACTCTCTAGAACGGGAGCTTTATGGGAAAGCAAAACCTTGCAAACATTCTTTGAAAACGTCCCTCGTTCAGTTGTGTGATTGCAATTATTAAAACTGAGTTTGGGCAACATTGTCCAATGAAACTGCCATTTTTTAGACAAAACACTCGTAGCTATGGCAGACTTTGTAGGAAGCAGAGACAATATCTTCACAATCAAAACGTCAGGCAACTCAATAATCCAGTCTTTCTTCACAACAGCTCGATTATCAATACGTTTACCACCTCTTTTGATGTCAAAAGCCAAAAACATCGAATCAACAAAACGTTGAGTTTTTGGTTTCATGTTTTGGAATATACAGTTATGAAACCTCATAATCTAGATTATACAAAGGACATACCGTTGTGTCTTCTTCGCTGCCATCGCTGTTAAATCCTATATGACTTGTTTAATTCGGCTGCAATATGATAGATAAGATAGCGGAAAGAGTAGAATCAGACGTCGGGGGTAGGGTTTCGGAGGATGTCAATGCGGCGGAGTTAGTCGTCGTTATATATTACAAAGTGAATAGATTGATTTCTTGGTTGACTTTAATTAAACATTTTTTTTACCGACAATAAAAAAACAAAAAAATCTTCGTTGACAACTTAATTGGTTAAGGAAACCCAAAGCCCGATAAATAGAACCGCAAATTTCGGACCAAAATCAGTGAGAATTTTTTTCAAAAAGCAAAGATAAAAAGATGAGAAGTTTTTACTGGTCATGTAAATAAGACGTTTCTTCTGCTCTCCAAATTGTCGTTTTCTTTTTCATTTTACCATCCTCAAACGTAGATATGAAACTTAACATCCATATGTAAATACAGGTTGAACTAAAAGCATATAGTAAGAGTTAGCTGTGAGAACAAAAACTCTCCTAATATTAAAGCATCATTCGAAAAGAATCTGGCATGAATTTGAAGCCCTCACCACACACTCAAGCTCAAGCCTATCTTCAGAACTCATGCGTATCGAGGAGAAGCTTGCTCTCTCCAAAAGATTTGTGTTCTTAAGAATGTATTTCGCAACTTCTTTCTCCTCCTCTACTAGACCTTCGTCGGAGCCAGTCCACATGAACGTCTCGAGATGAAACAACAGACATTCAGGAACATTCTCTGGTTGCTTCCATTTCCTACCAGCCACGAAACCTTGTCTCCAACCACCTCGCTTCTGAGTCTAATCATGAGGTGAAACACAAATACATATTACCTTATTACTAGATCATTATAACCTAAAACCAATTTAAAGTTTACCGAAAGATGAAACATTGCTTACATTAATGAGCTTGAGGACTTGCAATATAGGAGAACTATCGAGCATGAAAGTTAAAAGATCCCACCATGCGTTTGTACTTGTATATATCTCCAAAGATACCAGTTGGTAGAAGATGCTATCAGTAGGAAACTTAACCTAATGCATGAGGCAGTCAATATAATTAGTACAGAAACAATGTCATAAACTTATAATAGTTAATAACTTGGGTTGCAAGAAATCTACCTCCTTCAAGGGTACTAATTCCAAGGAAAGACGTTTGACCGAAGTTAGAGATTCCAGAAGATTCTCATTGATTGTATGATAAGAGACGTCAACGATATATGCTTCCTCTAGCTTCGTCACATTCTCAGTCAGACGAAACTTGAGACCATGTTCCCCTTCAATCTTCAAGTACTTCAACGAAGGAGCATCGATCACATATCCACAATCTCGTCCACTATCATAACTATCATAAATCGATAGTCTTTGTAAAGATGGCACGGCAATAGCGAAAGTCTTCACTTTGCACAAGTATCCACATAAATCCAACAGCAAATTCTCAAGATTAGCGCAGCCAGATAAAAGTTTAACAAACTCTTCGCCTCTGAAGAACGCAGACTGAATATGCAGAGTTTTAAGTGACTTGAGACAAACTTGAGAAGACGGAACAGCAACATCTTCTTCAAAAACAAAACCCTTGAGTGTCAATGTCTCTAGTGTCTCAGAGTTATACAAGCTTTTAGGAAAGGTGTAAAAAGATTTCCAGGTTTCAACATGGATCGCCAAGTTTCGCACAAGCCTTGAGTTTGCGATTTCACCCCACGTTTCAATATCCGTATTATAACAGGTGCCTGACCTAATATCGATATGCAAACTCTCTAGCACCGGAGCTTTGTGGGAAAGCAAAACCTTGCAAACATTCTTTGATAACGTCCCGCGTTCAGTTATGTGATCGCAATGATCAAACTTGAGTTTAGGCAACATTTTCCAGTGAAACTGCCATGGTTTAGACAAAACACTTGTAGCTATGGCAGACTTTGTCGGAAGCAGAGACAGTATCTGGAGAATCAAAGCGTCGGGCAACTCACTAATCCTGTCTCTCTGATCATCAATACTTTCACCACCTCTTTTGCTGTCAAAAGCCAAAATCATCGAATCAACGTGAGTTTTTTGTTTTATGTTTTGGAATTTACAGTTTTGAAACCCTAGAATCTAAGATTATACAAAGAACATACCTTTGTGTCTTCTCTGCTTCCATAGCTCTCGCGTCGCTGTTAGATCCTCACGGCGGGGATAGGGCTTCGGAGGATGATAATGCGGCGGATTTAGTCGTCGTTACAAAGTGAACCGATTGATTTCTTGGTTGACAAGAGAAAAAAAAAAAACAGAATAATATTCGTTGACAACTTAATGGGCTAAGGATATTGGTCTTATTAGCACAGTCTACGTACTAATGGGTTTACACAAATCCAAAGCCCAAAAAGTCTAATATTGTTGAAGCGCAAATTTCGGACCAAATCAGAGAGAAAATTTTTCAAAAAGCAAAGGTAAAAAAGATGAGAAGTTTTTACTGTTCATGTAACCCACGTGAAGAGAGCTCAAATTCCGATCTCGTAACGACGTCGAATAAGACAATTTGTGTTCTTGTCCTTAATCCATCTAAATGGGTCCCACGTATTTTTCTTTCTTCGTTGATCCTTTTAAAAAAAATTCCAAAAGCAAAAGTAACCAAAAATGAAAACAATATATTAAAACAAAAAAATTATCGAACAAGATTCCAGCTAAGTGGTTCTTCATCTTTTTTCAATCGCTTTCTTTTCCATTCCCCTTTTCTCTTCTTCCCCCACTTGTTGTTTCTTCTTCTCTCTTCCTCTCTCTGATTCTTAAAGCTTAACAACAAACAAGAACCCTAAAAAACTCATCATGTAATTTTGACTCTTCTTTGATTTTAGTCTGTGTTTAGCTGGAAATTTTTGTTGGTGTATTGTTGGTCTACTGTATCAGTGTTTTTTTGCTTTCCCTTACTTCTGAAGCAAAAAAAGTTAGGGTTTGGTGAAGAAAAAATCAGAAATGTCACTGAAGACGAAGAAACCGGATTCGATCCGGGAAGACGACGACGAGTGTTTATTCGCCGTCGAATACGACGGCCCGCCGTTATCCTACGACATCCCTCGCGCCGTTCCGATTAACATGGAGAGAATCCCAGTCGCCGCCGTGGTTTCTCCGGTCTGCATCTCCGACGACATGTCGTTTCCCGTGATTCAGCCGATTCTAGCCGTGGATCCTCTGAGCAACAAGAAGTTTCTGAGAGAAATGGTCGTTGTTCCTTCTTCCGCGATTAGCAATTGCGGCGGAGGCGGAGGAGAAGAATCCAGCGACATTGAATTAGTCTCCGATTCCATCACTGTCTCTCCTACTTCCGTCATCGTCTTCGAGGAGCAGACGGAGGAGGAAAACGGCGCCGATTGCGAGCTGAGCAGCTCGAACTGCGGATTATCCGGCGAGTTATCCGAATCGGTGAATCGTCAAGAGAAAGAAGAAGAGAGCTTAGATTTGAACGATTCATGTAACGAATCGGTTCTAAGCATCGATTATCCATCTTCGAGAGTTACAGGAGATTGCGTGAGTGAAACAAACGGAGATAGGAAGCAGCAACCAGTTGTGACGTTCTTAGGTATTGCTTCCGATGATGAGGAAGAAGAAGACTGTAGCAACCAGAAGCGGATCCGTGTGGCTCCGGTGAAGAAACAGCCGCAAACAAAAGGGAAGAAAGGCTCTTGCTACAGATGTTTCAAAGGGAGTAGATTCACGGAGAAAGAAGTTTGCCTTGTGTGTGATGCCAAGTACTGTAGTAGCTGTGTGCTTAGAGCTATGGGGTCGATGCCTGAAGGAAGGAAATGCGTTTCTTGTATCGGTTTCCCTATAGATGAATCTAAGCGAGGGAATTTGGGGAAGTGCTCGAGGATGCTTAAGAGGCTGCTTAATGACTTGGAAGTGAAGCAGATTATGAAGACTGAGAGGTTCTGTGAAGCTAATCAGTTACCTGCAGAGTATGTGTATGTGAATGGGCAGCCTCTTTACCATGAAGAGCTTGTGACGCTGCAGACTTGCTCTAATCCTCCGAAGAAGCTTAAACCTGGAGATTATTGGTATGATAAAGTGTCTGGACTTTGGGGAAAGGTGAGTCCTTTTTGAGATTTTTGTGTTCTTAGTCTCTGATGTATTTCAAGAACGTTTATTTGATATATAATTGATGTTCCACAGGAAGGAGAGAAGCCTTATCAGATAATTAGTCCTCATTTGAATGTTGGAGGTTCTATTAGTGCTGAAGCTAGCAATGGGAACACTCAGGTTTTCATAAACGGACGTGAGATTACGAAAGTGGAGCTAAGAATGCTGCAGGTTTTGGAATCTTTTTGAAGTGTATAAGTCTCTCTAGCTTTTGATTGCCATTGTTGATCTTTCTCTGTTGCTATGTGTTTGCAGTTGGCAGGAGTGCAATGTGCAGGGAATCCTCATTTTTGGGTGAACGAGGATGGTTCGTATCAAGAAGAAGGACAGAAGAATACCAAAGGATACATATGGGGAAAGGTTTGTTGTTTTTATTCCATTTAATGCTCAATTTGGCGTTTTCTTCTCCGATAACAAAAATTTGGCTGCTTTA